ATATTTATCTTTCAATCTCCCCACTATCTATATACATTGATGTAGCTATTTTTTCAAGATTTGTATGTAAAGATTTTGTATATCTCCCACAATAGTATAATATCATATCTTTTTTAAAATAACTTTCCAATAATATATTAGTTTTCATAGGACAATTACATTTATAATCTGGCTATGTATCTGTTTTAGTGTTAGTGTGAAATATGAAGGTATTAAAAATGATGAATTTTTACTAACTAATCCAATTACCAAACTAGTACTTTCTAAAGTAAGATGCAATCTTCTCTGCAATAGCTAATTTTTCAATTTCAGCAACAGCCTAAAGCTTCTTAGCATCTATAAGAGTAATCTTCCATTGGTCAAATTCTTCCTGATCCTGAGACCATTTAACAAATCAGAATTGATAGAATACTCGATCTCTAAGCCATTGGTTGTTCAAATTTTTTGTAAACCATTCTTTAAGTATATTAGCTAAAATAATAATATTGCAAAAAAAAATATAAAAAAAAAACATGTAGACAAAAAAACAATAAAATTTTATAAAAAAATCACCCTCATGCTAGGTACACAAAACAACTTATATATTAGAAAAGTGTTTTTTTGCTACTGTAAGATAAGGATCTCATTTATCCATAGCTAGCTATTTAGAATTCAATTGAATACTATTTTTAACACTATATTATATAAACTTCAAATAGCAAAAGTTATAAGATTATCCAATAAAATCTTATAAGGATATATAAAATACTTACTGACTTAAATATAAGATCAACAACTGATGTTGTTTTTTTGTCACTTACAAATATTGTTACAATTCAACCATGAGGTTTATTTGATCTAACCATGAAAGCAGTATTTGAAAAGTTTAAGCTATTGCGACAGCCAGTAGAGTCTACAGCCAGAAAATCCAGATATTTGGTTAAAAGAATTGGTAAAATTGTGGATGCAACACCAAGGAGTACAGCTTGTTCTTTAGGATCTTGAGCATTCTTGACACTATATTGTTTTGATATAACAATGCCTTCAATTTCATATTTATCTATTAGAGAGCAAATCTGTTTAATCAAAGAGAATAAATAAATATATAAATAACTAAACAATAAATAGAAAAAATTCTTTTACGTCTTATGACGTCCTAGGAGTATATTTGCAGGTTAAAAAAAA